CAGGTGCTCCAAGTTCACCTCAGCTGGTTCTCTCTGTGCCCTGGCCTCTGGCTCGGTTTCCTCATCCATCACCTCAGTCACTTCCTTCACCATCATCGTCATCCCTTGACTCACAGGTGGCTCTTTCCATTCTTTGAGCAGGTTGATGTGATACGTCTACTTAGCTTTCCCCTTACCTGGATGGTGCATCTCGTAATACACAATTTCTGTGCTTCTGTGCTTTCTGTGCTGCTTTCAGGTTCTCTCTTGCCTGTTTTTGATAGCGTTCAAGCTGGTCCCTCATCTTCAGAACATACTGGACGATGCCCCTCTCATCTTTTCTGTAGGCAGGATTCTCCAGGGGTCCTTGCACTTGCCAGCCATATAGGAGCTCAAAAGGGGAGAAACTAGTTGAAGCTTGAGGAACTTCGTCCGTGTCGGATACAAACTTCCGCAGCATGTACTTTAGTGTCTGGTTGAACCGCTCCACCAAGCCGTCTGTTTGTGGATGGTATGCACTGGTTCTGATGGCGGTGATGCCCAACTGGCGATGAAGTTGCCGAGGTGAAATTTGTCCCTTGGTCTATTAGAATCTCTTCAGGGATTCCCACCCTGGAGAACAGTAGTACAAGGGCTTGGATGATCTTTGGGGTGTTAATGGAATGGAGTGGGAAGGCCTCAGGGTACCTGGTTGCGTAGTCACATATCACCAGGATGTATTGGTGTCCTGCACTGCTCCTCTCAAGTGGCCCCACAATATCCATTGTGATACGCCTGAAGGGAGTAGAAATAACAGGGAGAGGGTACAAGGGCACTCGGCCCCGCTGGGACACAGCACTGACATGTTGCACATGTGTTGCAGTATGTCTGTACGTCAGTGTAAAATGAAGGCCAATGAAAACGTGAATTGATGTGAGTGTATGTTTTATGCTGTCCCAAGTGACCAGCCCATGGAATGGTGTGTGCGAGGTGCAAGACAATGAGTCTACAACATCTAGAAACAATTAAACAAGTAACATGTGTGACCTTGATGGTGTGTGGGACTCAGATGAAGCCTTTGGAAATGCCTCCGCTCCCCCTTCATCCTCCGTCGACTCTGCGGTGTCCCATACCGCAACCACTTTCGCCCGTGATCATAATCTACCTCGGGTTCTTTTGCTTTTCGGCACTATCTTGCGGGTAGCCATCCCACCACTGCCACCAAATGTGATATTGCGAGAACCACCAACTCGCTTGGGGATGTAGAAAGTGTCCGTAAAAGATGTAAAAATGATGGCTCTACCCACAATAGCACTTTCGTGCAAGGTGTAGTTTATTTACAGCACCGCAGATAAATATAAAAGTCCACGAATGATGGCGTGAAGAAATATATACAGTGTAATCACCAAAGACACAAAAATGCAAAGTAACAAAGAAACAAGAAACTGGAAAATAAATATGAAAAAGTTATATACAAAATATATACACACAAAGGGTATCTTCAATATACTCGCTTTGATGGGGGTTGCTCACGGTACTACTGATGCACGCTCGCATTCGACTTGGTTAACAAGTGATAAATGTGAGTCTGGCCTCCCTTTTTATAGGCCTTTTTTAAAACAATACATTTTCAACTATACTCTTTACATATATACAATAGACATATTTTATAAACACAAAACCTAATTTAATCATAATAAACACAAAATAAAACCAATAATACAAATGACTGTTTTCCTTTTACATTTGTCAGTCTTTAACACATTTAACAATGGTTTTGCCTAATTTTGAGCACCGTGTGCTGGCACGGCACCAACAATGACGTCATAAGCGGTTGACGCTCAATTTTTGGGGGGGTATTTTTTTTAGTGATTGGTAGTTTTGTTGGTGTTTATTTGTTCCTGTTTGAAAGCATTTATTTTAAAAGCTAGAATGGAAACCTGTTAAAATATGTTCATTTAGTTCAGATAATTTTGCATGAACACAGAGAAGACGAAAAAAATCTCTGTAAACTTGCGAATTTTTGTCACGCTACTTGTCACGCTTAAGCTTGTTGTTCAGCTCAGACTTTAGCTCAGATTATCAATGCATCGCTCTAGCCAATAACCGTCAAACATTGTTTTATTTTATTATTTCTGAAGATGAAAAAACATAAAAAACAAACATAAAGCAACTGTAGGCCTGTATGGATTCTTTTATTTCTTATATTTTAAGGATAATTTAAGAATCACTTTACTGTTGTAATAAAATGGTATAAAACAGAGAATAAAACTAAATAAAACCGCATCTGTTTCTGAGCAGAGAAAACTGAATAAAACTATAGAAATAAAAAGAAATATATAAGCCTATGCATGAAATATATTACACTTAAATAATTTATTTAAAAAGCGAAAGAAAGAAATGTGCTGAGTGTCTTTGTGATGTGCTTGAAGTTCACGGAATGGAAACCGAGACAGCAAAAATTAAGCGGCATCCTGCACGTTTTCTTTATTTTGCAAAGGCTTTACAGTTTTTAATTATGTTTTGCTTCTGTCTGTATGACCATAAATTACGGAGTAACAGTTTCCTCTCTAAGGGCGTGTTCACACTTGGCGTCTTTTTTGACAGGAAAAAGTTGAAAGGCTGCTTTTTTGATCAAATAAAAATATATTTTAGAAGGGAACTAAAATAACCTATAGCTGTGTTTATAGCTATAATGTTTATCATTTTTGTAAACATTTTGCTTTATTCACCTGTATTTTAGCCTACATTATTTATGAATGTATTCATAAAATACAAGCCTAGTGACTTAGGCCTATCTGACATTGACATTTATATATTTCAATGATTTTAATAAGAAAACTACAGCTAGCCAATTTTATAATTTCATAATAATAATAATATATTAATAATCATCTTTATTTTCTATCGCCTTTAAATGTTAAAGTGCTTTACATAGCCTAAACAAATAAAACATCAAAATACACCATTAAAGATTATGAAATAAGCAAGAAGAGAAATACATTCAAAACACTTGAAAATAAAATATGGAAATTATAAAATAATTTTCAATCAAAAGAAAGGTAAAAATTATTCAGAGCAACATATCGACCTTGAATCTCTCAAAAATCCTAAAAAAATATTACAGACACAGTTTTAGAAAGGAATTGTTTATTTATTTGGTATGAAATATTGCGGTTTATAAATAAGAGTTGGCACACCTGACTGAGTGGCATTGCTATAGTGTTTTAATTCTGACATGATAAATTAGCCTTGGATGAGCGCACATGCGCGTTCACTTGGATTATTTTCTTATAATAGCATTTGAACTTAAATAGTTGTTTTTGGTCATAAATAGAACATCATTCATAGGCTATAGCTACTTTTGTATATTAGGTAGCTTGAAATGTGGAATTGAAGTAAACAAAATCAAAAACAAAATATAAAACTTTATGCAGATATGCATGAATGACCACTTTTGCATCACTCAAATCGTTGTTTTTTAATTAACTTTTAGTAAGACTAATTAAATCAGCGTGCTGACTTGACTAGCTATACATAGTAGCCTACATATTGCCAGGGCCTGCGGAAAGCGCAATAAAGTGTGTGTTTACAAATAATGAAAATGTAGCCTAAATGGGTTTTCCAAGTTCTTTTTACTAAATATTTGGGTGAATTATATTTTAAAGTGATATTCTAATATAAATAGGCTATTTCATGCATTGAACTACCAGACAGTGTCAGAAAATGAATTCTCATCAAAAGGAGTCTGATCTGGGGTGTGTTTCCCATACAATGACGTAACTCGTTGATTAACCACCATAGTACGATGCATTGTTGTAGAAACAAACGAACTAATCATGACTGTTTCCTGAACATGATCACATCTCCGTCGTTTGAAACACAATAGTTCAACAATATAGGCCATTGTTAATGACGTCAAATTGTTTAACTACAGAATGTTGTTCCTTAGGCCACCTGGTGGATATTGTGTGAAGCACAACAATGTTTTAAAAATGAAAAAGCGCCTGCAGGGAGCTCCATGATTACGCATGACGAATTGCGTGCTGCCATGTGAAAATATGCATTCTTAAAGGCCACATCTGTAATTCATACCCACTTACAGTATGTGTACAGTAGGCTACCATGGGACACGCGCTCCTTTATGGAATAAAAGGAAAAAATATTTAAGGCAAATAGGTAGGCTTAAAAGTATAGAAGGAGAGGAGGGTTGCATTGTCAATTTTAACATGTGCATCAATCAGAGTGTCCAGTAGCAGCGAGGTATCTTTAGGCAGGTGAAAAGCATGTGGTTAATGTGTACCGTTGTGGCTCCCACTAGTAAAAAAAAAAAAAAACAGCAGGTTATATATTGTGTGCCAAACAGGTAAAAAAAAAAAAAAGAATAAAAGGAGACCCGGGTTGCATCGTCAGTTTGTTCACATGCATCTCCGATTGGGAGCTGCCTCCGGGTGGCAGGTTTTGTGGCACCTGCCTCACAAAGATTTTTACCCTTACTGCAAATTGCACTGTAAAGACTTTGATGCCCTTCGCGACAACGTACCTTTGTGTTCTCAGCACTTATACTGGCATAAACAACAATATCGACAGACTGTCCACAGAAAACGATTTAAGACTCAGACTCTCTCCGATACAGCCAAACATCATCGCAGTTATCATATCAAGCACACCCATCTCATTAAACAGTCATTTATTTAAAAATATACAATAGGTTGCATACAAATTGTGTTTCATAAAAGGTAGGTATATTACAAGGGTATATGTTACATGTGCACTTTTTCAAAATACTTTGTGACTAGTGTGTGGGGGGGGGGTACAGAGAAGGATGTTAAATGCCTGGGCGGTACACGACTAAAATGTTTGAGAACCACTGACCTAGAAGAATGTGGTTATTAAAAAATATATATATTTTTTACATTGCAAAATTAGTACAATTCTTTGTGTAATGTGCGCAATTATTTCCTGGTCTGCTATAATGAAGTAATGTCTATTTAACTGTATGCAATTTTATTTGATTGAAATGTTTGTGTGTGTACTGATAGAAACCCCTTGGACAGCAGTTTAAGAAGGAAGTACATATCCGAAACCTTCCATCTCTGTTTAAGAAGCCAAAGCCTACGAGAGATATACTGGAGAACACTGATACTGCAGGTCTGATTACCCTATTCTCTTCTGACCATGACAATTGCTGAGAGAATCACAGTTTCACAATACCCTCACTTCATTGCCATTGAAACTCCTCTGTGTAGTACAGTATCCGTCTGAAAGGGCTTTTTGGGGCATGAATGGTTTATTGAAATGAGGAAAGACGACAAGGACTTTTGTGTTTAATATTATTTGGATGTACATTTTTTTTTCTCTTCTTTTGTATGGTTTTTTGGTAATATATCTGTATCATTTAATGAATAACAAAAAATTGCTGTAAGAGCACCTCATTGGAAAAAAAAAAACTATTGAAAAATAAAAACAAGTACCTTTTGAAAAAGTTAAATGAGAAGTCTTGTTAATTACAGTACTGATCCAGCACTACATTCGATTATGATGCAATGGCCAATTTTTAAATAACACATTCAACACTAATTGCTATTTGACATGTCTGTGTACAGATTGTGTAAAAAGTGTTGTGATTTATACACTGCAGTTTTTAATAAATGTATACTTGGACGGATTACACTGATTGTATGGACTCTTTCTTAAGTTGTGAAATGTAAAGAATGTTGTAATCTGCCAGAAGTGAAGGAGTATTGATTGCATAATATATTTGCTTACTATGACAAGCCTGTGTGTGTATGTAAATGCGTAGGTATAATTTGCAGGTGGAACATATCCCCACCACTTTTTGACAAAGTTGATTTTGTCCCCACTCCACTTTTTGAAGCTATTTTAAAAAAATAGGCCTAGCATAAAGAAGGCTTACAGTGTTATGTAATATAAAATGAAAACTATTCCAATCCATTGTTCTTCATCATTTGATTTATTCATGTAACACAAAACACATTTGCGCCGTTCAGACAGGCCTGATCTATAAACCATATATTGGGATTTATAAACAATATGTTGTCTGTACATATATACTGTATATTGCTGTATATTTGATGCTTTTGACAATATCTCTAGCTATCGTCGATACATGATTATCGTCTTTCGATATATATATATGGAGATATTGAGATAAATGCCAAAATGAATCTCAGACATGAACAAATTTGCTTTGCTTAATCTTTTTGTGTACAAATTAATTCTAAAAAGAAATATATATTTATTTTTGGAATTAATTTGTACATGAATGAGCTTTATTGCCAGGTATGTTTACACATAAGAGGAATTTGTTTTCGTGACAGAAGCTCTACAGTGCAACAGAATGACAGTGACAGGACAAAAACACAGATAATAAAAGAATAAAAATAGAACAAGTAAATAGGGAATAACAATATACAGATTGACAATTGTATAGGGAGGGTTGTACCAATGATTCGCTCAGACGTCCGGACTATCCTCTGTAGTCTTCTGAGGTCAGATTTGGTAGCTGAGCTGAACCAGACAGTTATTGAAGTGCAGAGGATGGATTCAATGATGGCGGAGGAGAACTGTCAGCAGCTCCTGTGGCAGGTTGAACTTCCTCAGCTGGCGAAGGAAATACAACCTCTGCTGGGCCTTTTTCACAATGGAGTCAATATGAGTGTCGTGTCCCACTTCAAGTCCTAAGAGATAGTGGTGCCCAGGAACCTGAATGTCTCCACTGTCATTACAGTGCTGTCCATGATGGTGAGCGGGGGGAGTGCAGGGGGGTTTCTCCTGAAGTCCATGATCATCTCCACAGTTTTGAGCATGTTAAACTCCAGGTTAAGACTGCACCAGAGAGCCAGCTCTTTAATCTCCTGTCTGTAAGCAGACTCGTCACCGTCCTGAATGAGGCCGATAAGTGTGGTGTCCTCTGCAAACTTTAGGAGCTTGACAGAGGGGTCCTTTGAAGTGCATGTGTAACCAAGGTTACCAGAGAGTAACAGAAATAAAAAATGTTATTAATATAATAACGTAATAATGTGAAAACTACTTTAAGTATATTAATAAAAGAAATATTAATTTTATACAAACATATATTTTTATTTGGTTATTAATGTGACCAATAGTGATCAGTTTTGAACTTGAGATGGGCCAATGAGAGCGCAGAATGTGGCGCAGCGGAAAAATTGATTTCCGGGTTTTGCACGAGTTTTGCTCGTGGAATCAGAGGCAGCTCTCTCTATCGTGCACGTATGCCTGAGGAGCGCGGTGTTCGCTGACGATCCGGGGAACGGAAACAAAGAAAATAATCTTCTAGATGAATTTTATCGATGGATTGATGTGAGTGAAGTGACGCATTTTATTTTCCATTTGTTGTGAATGACATTGATATTGTAATGTGAGTGAAACGGACATTTAACTTGTAAATATAAAAGTGTATGGTGATATACATATACTCTACTAGCGACAGAGTGTTGCTAAAGTGTTTACGGAGTGTATTTTTGATGGAAAAAGGGTAAAGAAAAGGATTTAAAGGGGACGTGCTGTACCTGCACCGTTCTGGAATTTTCTGAGTTTAACGATCTCCTTGGTAAGTCAATTTGCCTTGTTAATCGTTACCAATCAAATCGTTAGTATCGTTAGTATTGAAAAAGCAAGAGAAATTTAAAATTGCGAGTGATTTATGTATGAAAAAAATCTGTAATGCCTGTAATGCTACATAACAGCTAACTGTGTGCTCAAGTATGTGACGAAAAGTGGTCAGTAATATATTAATTAGTGTGTTATGTTGGAAAAATAGTCACAGACATTGCATATATAAAAAAAAAAAAAATTCTTTATTTGAAAAATACATGTATGTATATTCAAAATACTCAAGTTCTGTGTAATATGAATGATGTATAGTGATTAATTTACTTTCATGAGTTAAGCACTTTATTGTATGTTGTTACAATGAAGATATTCATGATATTTTTGTGACCTTGTTCAAGGTCAGGTTTTTATTCCTTGTTGTTCTGTCCTTTTCCAAATTCGATTGCTGTCCTCTGTCTGATGTGACGAGATGTTCCGGTACCTGCATTCTGGATTTGTCCCGGCCTTCCGGTGGTTCTGAGGAGGGTTTGGACTGGCGAGCCTCCCTTGAGTCTGTTCTTGGATTTTCTGTGGAAACAAAAGACAAGTTTTTCTGACCCTGTGAATGGTAGGAAATCGAATAACTTTTCTTTCTTTTTTTTTTTCCTCTTTCGGTTGGAGACGTTTTTTCCTCATTGACAGAGAAAAGACATTTATATCTCTCTACGGACTATTTGAAGAACTGTTTTTCTTGAAAGACTGAGCAATTGAGGGTTTTGAAATCGAAGGACATTATTTTATTTCATTGAGAAGTGTTAATTTTCTGTTGTGGTGACAGCTGTGATACATACATTGGGTTTTTGATACTTGAATACTGATTGATCTAAAAAGAAAAAAAAGTTGACAAAGGTAACATAAGTGTTCATATTCAACCTTTATTTGGGTGAATCAACTACTGAGTTAAAGTGAACGAACAAAGAACTTACCTTGTTGAAAATTGAGGGAAAAGGTTCATGAAACCTGCTAAAACAAAAGAGTGATAACATTTAGAAACAAGAATTTAATTTGTGAAAATATATATTTTTTTCTTTCTGTTTTCATTGATTCACATTGATTCAACTTACCCGTTGAGTGCTGTTAAACCACAAATACACGTTGTGTGTTCGACCAAACCATTCGTTGAGTCTGTTCACTGTTGTTGTTGCATTTTTCTCAGCAGCGAATCTATTCTTCTGAGACGCTGGTCCATAGATTGGCATATAACAAGTTACTAATTAATCTACAAGTTATTAGCTAGATAGTAAGAGCTACACAACGTTTTTTTTTTTTTTAGGATGAAGTCAAGTAGCGTCAAAAGAGATGAGTTTTCAGCTGTCGCTTGAAAATTGTCAGGGATTCAGCATTCCGGATAGGGGTGGAAGATCATTCCACCAGCCAGGAACGGTGAACGAGAATGTTCTGGAAAGTGATTTTGAGCCTCTTTGTGATGGTTCCACGAGGTGTCGCTCACTAGCGGATCTCAGACTTCTGGAGGGGATGTAGATTCGTAATAGTGAGTGGAAGTAGGCGGGTGCTGAGCCTGTGACTGTTCTATATGCAAGCATCAATGTCTTGAACTTGATGCGAGCCTCAACCGGCAGCCAGTGCAAGGAGATAAAGAGAGGTGTA